AGTCCCCTGTCTCGTCCACACAGTCGCCTGTCTCGTCCACACAGTCGCCTGTCTCGTCCACAGACACAGTCGCCTGTCTCGTCCACACAGTCGCCTGTCTCGTCCACAGACACAGTCGCCTGTCTCGTCCACACAGTCCCCTGTCTCGTCCACAGACACAGTCGCCTGTCTCGTCCACAGACACAGTCGCCTGTCTCGTCCACACAGTCGCCTGTCTCGTCCACAGACACAGTCGCCTGTCTCGTCCACACAGTCGCCTGTCTCGTCCACAGACACAGTCGCCTGTCTCGTCCACACAGTCGCCTGTCTCGTCCACAGACACAGTCGCCTGTCTCGTCCACACAGTCGCCTGTCTCGTCCACAGACACAGTCGCCTGTCTCGTCCACACAGTCCCCTGTCTCGTCCACACAGTCGCCTGTCTCGTCCACAGACACAGTCGCCTGTCTCGTCCACAGACACAGTCACCTGTCTCGTCCACAGACACAGTCGCCTGTCTCGTCCACACACACAGTCGCCTGTCTCGTCCACACACACAGTCGCCTGTCTCGTCCACACACACAGTCGCCTGTCTCGTCCACAGACACAGTCACCTGTCTCGTCCACACAGTCCCTTGTCTCGTCCACACAGTCGCCTGTCTCGTCCACAGACACAGTCGCCTGTCTCGTCCACAGACACAGTCGCCTGTCTCGTCCACACAGTCGCCTGTCTCGTCCACACACACAGTCGCCTGTCTCGTCCACACACACAGTCGCCTGTCTCGTCCACACAGTCGCCTGTCTCGTCCACACAGTCGCCTGTCTCGTCCACAGACACAGTCGCCTGTCTCGTACACACAGTCGCCTGTCTCGTCCACACAGTCGCCTGTCTCGTCCACACAGTCGCCTGTCTCGTCCACACAGTCGCCTGTCTCGTCCACAGACACAGTCACCTGTCTCGTCCATACAGTCGCCTGTCTCGTCCACACAGTCGCCTGTCTCGTCCACAGACACAGTCGCCTGTCTCGTCCACACAGTCGCCTGTCTCGTCCACACAGTCGCCTGTCTCGTCCACACACACAGTCGCCTGTCTCGTCCACACAGTCGCCTGTCTCGTCCACAGACACAGTCGCCTGTCTTGTCCACACACACAGTCGCCTGTCTCGTCCACAGACACAGTCACCTGTCTCGTCCACAGACACAGTCCCCTGTCTCGTCCACACAGTCGCCTGTCTCGTCCACACAGTCGCCTGTCTCGTACACAGTCGCCTGTCTCGTCCACACACACAGTCCCCTGTCTCGTCCACACAGTCACCTGTCTCGTCCACACAGTCACCTGTCTCGTCCACACAGTCCACTGTCTCGTCCACACAGTCACCTGTCTCGTCCACACAGTCGCCTGTCTCGTCCACAGACACAGTCACCTGTCTCGTCCACAGACACAGTCCCCTGTCTCGTCCACACAGTCGCCTGTCTCGTCCACACAGTCGCCTGTCTCGTCCATAGACACAGTCACCTGTCTCGTCCACACAGTCGCCTGTCTCGTCCACAGACACAGTCGCCTGTCTCGTCCACACAGTCGCCTGTCTCGTCCACAGACACAGTCACCTGTCTCGTCCACAGACACAGTCCCCTGTCTCGTCCACACAGTCGCCTGTCTCGTCCACACAGTCGCCTGTCTCGTCCATAGACACAGTCACCTGTCTCGTCCACACAGTCGCCTGTCTCGTCCACAGACACAGTCGCCTGTCTCGTCCACAGACACAGTCACCTGTCTCGTCCACAGACACAGTCACCTGTCTCGTCCACACAGTCGCCTGTCTCGTCCACAGACACAGTCACCTGTCTCGTCCACAGACACAGTCGCCTGTCTCGTCCACACAGTCGCCTGTCTCGTCCACAGACACAGTCACCTGTCTCGTCCACAGACACAGTCACCTGTCTCGTCCACACAGTCCACTGTCTCGTCCACACAGTCGCCTGTCTCGTCCACACAGTCGCCTGTCTCGTCCACAGACACAGTCACCTGTCTCGTCCACACAGTCGCCTGTCTCGTCCACACAGTCGCCTGTCTCGTCCACACAGTCGCCTGTCTCGTCCACACAGTCGCCTGTCTCGTCCACAGACACAGTCACCTGCCTCGTCCACAGACAGTCACCTGTCTCGTCCACACAGTCGCCTGTCTCGTCCACACACACAGTCGCCTGTCTCGTCCACACAGTCGCCTGTCTCGTCCACAGACACAGTCGCCTGTCTCGTCCACAGACAGTCCCCTGTCTCGTCCACACAGTCACCTGTCTCGTCCACACAGTCGCCTGTCTCGTACACACAGTCGCCTGTCTCGTCCACACACACAGTCCCCTGTCTCGTCCACACAGTCCCCTGTCTCGTCCACACAGTCACCTGTCTCGTCCACACAGTCACCTGTCTCGTCCACACAGTCCACTGTCTCGTCCACACAGTCACCTGTCTCGTCCACACAGTCGCCTGTCTCGTCCACACAGTCGCCTGTCTCGTCCACAGACACAGTCACCTGTCTCGTCCACACAGTCGCCTGTCTCGTCCACACAGTCGCCTGTCTCGTCGACACAGTCGCCTGTCTCGTCTACACAGTCACCTGTCTCGTCCACACAGTCGCCTGTCTCGTCCACACAGTCACCTGTCTCGTCCACACAGTCACCTGTCTCGTCCACACAGTCGCCTGTCTCGTCCACACACACAGTCACCTGTCTCGTCCACAGACACAGTCGCCTGTCTCGTCCACACAGTCGCCTGTCTCGTCCACACAGTCGCCTGTCTCGTCCACAGACACAGTCACCTGTCTCGTCCACAGACACAGTCACCTGTCTCGTCCACACAGTCGCCTGTCTCGTCTACACAGTCGCCTGTCTCGTCCACACAGTCGCCTGTCTCGTCCACACAGTCACCTGTCTCGTCCACAGACACAGTCGCCTGTCTCGTCCACAGACACAGTCACCTGTCTCGTCCACACAGTCGCCTGTCTCGTCCACACAGTCGCCTGTCTCGTCCACACAGTCGCCTGTCTCGTCCACACAGTCGCCTGTCTCGTCCACACAGTCGCCTGTCTCGTCAACAGACACAGTCGCCTGTCTCGTCCACAGACACAGTCACCTGTCTCGTCCACACAGTCGCCTGTCTCGTCCACACAGTCGCCTGTCTCGTCCACACACACAGTCGCCTGTCTCGTCCACACACACAGTCGCCTGTCTCGTCCACACACACAGTCGCCTGTCTCGTCCACACACACAGTCGCCTGTCTCGTCCATACAGCCGCCTGTCTCGTCCACACAGTCACCTGTCTCGTCCACACAGTCGCCTGTCTCGTCCACACAGTCGCCTGTCTCGTCCACACAGTCCCCTGTCTCGTCCACACAGTCGCCTGTCTCGTCCACACAGTCGCCTGTCTCGTCCACACAGTCCCCTGTCTCGTCCACACAGTCACCTGTCTCGTCCACAGACACAGTCCCCTGTCTCGTCCACACAGTCGCCTGTCTCGTCCACACAGTCGCCTGTCTCGTCCACACAGTCGCCTGTCTCGTCCACAGACACAGTCACCTGTCTCGTCCACACACACAGTCGCCTGTCTCGTCCACACAGACGCCTGTCTCGTCCACACAGTCGCCTGTCTCGTCCACACAGTCGCCTGTCTCGTCCACACAGTCACCTGTCTCGTCCACAGACACAGTCGCCTGTCTCGTCCACACAGTCGCCTGTCTCGTCCACACAGTCGCCTGTCTCGTCCACAGACACAGTCACCTGTCTCGTCCACAGACACAGTCACCTGTCTCGTCCACACAGTCGCCTGTCTCGTCTACACAGTCGCCTGTCTCGTCCACACAGTCGCCTGTCTCGTCCACACAGTCACCTGTCTCGTCCACACAGTCGCCTGTCTCGTCCACACAGTCACCTGTCTCGTCCACAGACACAGTCGCCTGTCTCGTCCACAGACACAGTCACCTGTCTCGTCCACAGACACAGTCACCTGCCTCGTCCACACAGTCACCTGTCTCGTCCACACAGTCGCCTGTCTCGTCCACACAGTCGCCTGTCTCGTCCACACAGTCACCTGTCTCGTCCACACAGTCGCCTGTCTCGTCCACACAGTCGCCTATCTCGTCCACACAGTCACCTGTCTCGTCCACAGACACAGTCACCTGTCTCGTCCACACAGTCGCCTGTCTCGTCCACACAGTCGCCTGTCTCGTCCACACAGTCGCCTGTCTCGTCCACACAGTCGCCTGTCTCGTCCACACAGTTGCCTATCTCGTCCACACAGTCACCTGTCTCGTCCACACAGTCGCCTGTCTCGTCCACACAGTCGCCTGTTTTGTTAAGACAACTAATACAACTAATTCTCCATGTTTTAAGATCACATGTACAACGTGATATCCTAACAGTCTGCTGGTACACTGGAAGTTTGGTCGTGTCCACTTCCACCCCCTCCCTCCCAACCCCCACCCCCCACCCATGCTGGCATTCCTCGCTGCCACTGGCAGACATGACGTCACTTCCGGAATGTCTTCCAAACGTGTACAACTAGAAAGCTAATCATCGACTCAACGGCTATTTACACAACATTTTGCTTTTACCCGCGAGGAAATTTGAAACTTCTTGAAGTGACACTAAGCCTCGCTGGTAAATGGCTACCAATGAAAAGACTCGACACACGCGTCTCCCCCAATGAAATAATTCGTTACATACATGTCTTACAATGTTAAACTTTCGGCTTAGAGACTGACCAGTTTCTCGTTGGAGATATATTAACATGGTGGATTTGCGGTGAATATGTGTATGGTGTATGTACTACTCTGGAGTATGTTCAACTTTATGGTTTGCTGCATGTGGTGTCAAATATAATGTGGTCATCAAGCAAGGTAAAAAAATATTTAAACACAAGGCATGATCAAATCTAATGTATTCATCAATTGAGGTCAGCTATAATGTATTCAACGAGTGAGGTCAACTCTACTGCCCTGATACAACAACAAGATGCAACCCTTACCTGGCTGGTTGATGTTCACATCGAAAATCTTCTCCACCTGCCGGTTGTACGCTGTGATGTGAAAGACCGTGGTGGGCGTGTCCTCAATGCACGAGATATTTACAGGAACTACGTCATCAGACACGCGCTCCCAGCGCATGTACTCGCCGTCGCCATGGACGCGGAACACATCCGCCCACAACCTGGAGCAGACGAGAAACACGTTAGGTCAAGGTCGGCAGACAAGAACTTACGAGGGCAAGGTTAGCAGACAAAACCGCGTGAGGTCAAGGTTATCAGACGAAATCGCAAGAGGTCAAGGTTAGCAGTCGAGAAACGAGTGATGTCAAGGTTAGCAGACAAGATTGCATGAGGTCAAGGTTAGCAGACAAGATCGCATGAGGTCAAGGTTAGCAGACAAGATTGCATGAGGTCAAGGTTAGTAGACAAGATTGCATGAGGTCAAGGTTAGCAGACGAGATCGCATGAAGGTCAAGGTTAACCGAGGAGCTCTTAAAGTAGAATCCCGCGGGAAGCTGTAACAAAATCGGAAGACAACAGACCAGACTTGCAGACGACCGCATGACTGGCTTGAAGACATAAACTGTAGCTAATGCAACTCTAGACAAAGGCTTTTAGCACTTGACGCTACTTACGGCCCAGAGACAGGAAAAGGGGGGGGGGGGGGCTGTAACAATGGCGAGATGCCAGAAATCAATAGGCGAAAGTCGAAAATTGAATGGGATAATCCCGCTAAAGGTATCCGTGGGTTCTATGATCGCGTGGCTTTGTGCATCGTTGTCGGATTCCTCCACCTGCACAGTTACACACACACACACACACACAAAAACACACACACACACACAATCGGGGTAAAAAAAATTTAAATTTGTAATTTCTTGCTCCAGGTATACTCTAGGTTATTTAAAGACAGTTTTAGGTGATCACTGGAAAGGCGAAACAATCCTATCGTGGTGTTAGTGCCGCTGTTAGTTTAACTTCTAACAAGAACCACATGCATGGTACATAGACCCGTCAACAATGCAGCATATAGACCCGCCCACAAGGTACAGAGACACGCCCACAAGGTATAGAGACACGCCCACAATGCCACACACAGACCCGCCCACAATGCCACACACAGACCCGCCCACAATGTCACATACAGACCCGCCCACAATGCCACATACAGACCCGCCCACAATGCCACACACAGAGCCGCCCACAATGCCACACACAGACCCGCCCACAATGCCACACACAGACCCGCCCACAATGCCACACACAGACCCGCCCACAATGCCACACACAGACCCGCCCACAATGCCACACACAGACCCGCCCACAATGCCACATACAGACCCGCCCACAATGCCACACACAGAGCCTTACAGACTGAGACAACACCAGCCGTCTAGGTGAAATCGATTTTCAGTAAAACAAAGATGCCATCAGGATCTTGCAGGCGTGTGTTGGACTAGAGACTTGGAGCATACGGGAGGTGGTCAGTGCTATCTTAGGGGAGGTGGTCAGTGCTGTCTTAGGGGAGGTGGTCAGTGCTATGTGGGGTGGAAGGGGTCAGTGCTATCTTAGGGGGAGGTGGTCAGTGCAATCTTAGGGGAGGTGGTCAGTGCTGTCTTAGGGGAGGTGGTCAGTGCTGTCTTAGGGGAGGTGGTCAGTGCTATGTGGGGTGGGAGGTGGTCAGTGCTATCTTAGGGGGAGGTGGTCAGTGCTATCTTAGGGGAGGTGGTCAGTGCTGTCTTAGGGGAAGTGGTCAGTGCTGTCTTAGGGGAGGTGGTCAGTGCTATGTGGGGTGGGAGGGGTCAGTGCTATCTTAGGGGAGGTGGTCAGTGCTATCTTAGGGGAGGTGGTCAGTGCTGTCTTAGGGGAGGTGGTCAGTGCTATGTGGGGTGGGAGGGGTCAGTGCTGTCTTAGGGGAGGTGGTCAGTGCTATCTTAGGGGAGGTGGTCAGTGCTGTCTTAGGGGAGGTGGTCAGTGCTATCTTAGGGGAGGTGGTCAGTGCTATGTGGGGTGGGAGGGGTCAGTGCTATCTTAGGGGAGGTGGTCAGTGCTATCTTAGGGGAGGTGATCAGTGCTGTCTTAGGGGAGGTGGTCAGTGTTATGTGGGGTGGGAGGGGTCAGTGCTATCTTAGGGGAGGTGGTCAGTGCTATCTTAGGGGAGGTGGTCAGTGCTATCTTAGGGGAGGTGGTCAGTGCTATGTGGGGTGGGAGGGGTCAGTGCTATCTTAGGGGAGGTGGTCAGTGCTATCTTAGGGGAGGTGGTCAGTGCTGTCTTAGGGGAGGTGGTCAGTGCTATCTTAGGGGTGGTGGTCAGTGCTGTCTTAGGGGAGGTGGTCAGTGCTATCTTAGGGGTTGTGGTCAGTGCTGTCTTAGGGGAGGTGGTCAGTGCTGTCTTAGGGGAGGTGGTCAGTGCTGTCTTAGGGGAGGTGGTCAGTGCTATCTTAGGGGAGGGGTCAGTGCTGTGGGGGGGGGGGGTGGGAGGGGTCAGTGTTATGTGGGGTGAATGGGGTCAGTGCTGTGTGGGTCGGGAGGGGTCAGTGCTATCTTAGGGGAGGTGGTCAGTGCTGTCCTAAGGAAGGTGGTCAGTGCTATGTGGGGTGGGGGTGGTCTAAGTGGCCTATTGATGACGTTGTGCACATGTTTGAATCACGCAATGAAAAAACGAAACAGTAAAACATAACGACCGTCAGTAACAAAAACCGTTGCTACAGTCCCAGCTAAAATGTCAAGCCATGAACAGATCCACGACAACACAGCATCATTAGCTCTGCTGTTTCACCATCTCATTAGTCAGCTGATCTCAGGTTCCCGGTGCTTTATTGATGAGATTTCATCATTTGTAAACTTTTTTCTTGTCACGTTTGTTTTAAGCGTTTTAAACATTGCACAACCCGCAAGGTACGGCTCAAAGCTATTGGCTCACAGCTAGCGAAAAACAACAGTTTATAAGTAGCGGCTGACGACTCACAGAAGCGGCTCACAGAAACGACTGGCGGCTCACAAGAAACGACTGGCGGCTCACAACAAGCAGGTATTCGAATTGGTGGATAGCCATACACCGAGTCTAACTATAGAAGGTTCACGCCAAGCTGGAAGCCTCGGTGCTTAAGTTGGTTCTAGGTAACAAACAGCAGCTTAAGACAAGCGTTCTCAACACACACCAAACTCCCCCCACACACACCTAACTCCTCCCCCCCAATACATACCAAGCTCCCTTCACACACCAACCCCCCCCCCCCCCCTCAACACACACAACTGACTCATTTCCCCCCCCCCCCCCCCCCCCCCCAATTTTCGCCTCCCACTGATCACGTTACGGAAACAAATTTACAATAGAAAAAAAAACGGATTTTCCCGGAGTGAATGGAAATATCCGACCCCCGGGCTAAATCTGATAGCGTCGAGTATGTTTCGAATACCTTAGCAGGTATCGATTCTTTTAAATACCGAATACATCTGATTAGTGTTTATTCTAATGTCTGCTGCAACTCACAAGTTCAAGGTCGCTAGATTTTCATGATCGCTTAGTGATTTTAGACGACCCAGCGGTTTTCCTGGATCTTTGTATTTTATCTTAAGCACGTGACTCATGTGATGAAGACGTAGCGTCTCTAGCTTAGCTCTATCTTAGCTATGTAATCTTGGTTCGATGGACGACATCGATACTCTACCTCTCTATAGTCGTAGTTATAACGATGTCGCTTGTTAATATAGGAGCGATACCAAGAGATTCAATAGGACTTGTGGTATTGCCAGAGTCCGCCCCCAAGGGCTTAATCGTCTGGTGAAGCTGCCCTAGCTGGTCATTCGGTCAGTATATGACAGGATGGCCAGTCTATGACAGGTTGGTCAGTCTATAACAGGTTGGTCAGTCTATGACATGATGGCCAGTCTGTGACAGGCTGGTCAGTCTATGACATGTTGGTCACTCTATGACAGGCTGGTCAGTCTATGACAGGCTGGTCAGTCTATGACAGGCTGGTTAGTCTATGATATGTTGGTCAGTCTATGACAGGCTGGTCAGTGTATGATATGTTGGTCAGTCTATGACAGGCTGGTCAGTCTATGATATGTTGGTCAGTCTATGACAGGCTGGTCAGTCAATGACATGATGTCCAGTCTATGACATGATTGTCCGCCGATGAGACATTGGCCAGTCTATGACAGAATGGTCAATCTATAACGTAATGGTCAGTCTATAACATAATAGTCAGTCTATAACATAATGGTCAGTCTATGACATAATGGTCCGCCGATGAGACGTTGGTCAGTCTACGATGCGCTGACCAACCAGATCCCGAGTAACGAACCAATCAGGTTCAACTAGCCAGCTAATCAATGTTAGTGAGCACACAGCTACCGGTAAGCCGATCATTTGAAGACTGTCCTCAGGCATGATCCGCGGCCCTCATCAGCTCCCGGTCACACATGGGAGTGGGCAGCAGAGGGTAGGCCGGATAGAGACGGTCAGTTTGGGTCAGTTGGGAAAATGGTAATACACGCCTGCATGATCCTGATGCATTGGTTCAACAAGCTGACATGATCTTAGTGCACTAGGCCTACATACAGACAGGTGACACGATCTTAGTGCACTAGGCCTACATACAGACAGGTGACACGATCTTAGTGCACTAGGCCTACATACAGACAGGTGACACGATCTTAGTGCACTAGGCCTACATACAGACAGGTGACACGATCTTAGTGCACTAGGCCTACATACAGACAGGTGACACGATCTTAGTGCACTAGGCCTACATACAGACAGGTGACACGATCTTAGTGCACTAGGCCTACATACAGACAGGTGACACGATCTTAGTGCACTAGGCCTACATAAAGACAGGTGCCACGATCTTAGTGCACTAGGCCTACATACAGACAGGTGCCACGATCTTAGTGCACTAGATCTACATACAGACAGGTGACACGATCTTAGTGCACTACATAAAGACAGGTGCACCAGGAAATCCCTCTACCCACCACGGAGCATGTCTGATGCCTTGAAAATTTCCCACCAGCCAATTTGACCAGTCAATTGACCAGGCTGACGTCACGGATTACTGATGGGATTATCGACACCTCGTGACCGTGTTAACACTTCCGGTTGTAGCAGACGTCGGGGCGGGCTGGAGATGTAATCTAGATCTGGGATGTTTTCAATTTGTGGCGAGCTAAGGGTTAATACCAGACATCACAGATCGGCGAGCTAGGGGTTAATAGACATCACACCACAGACATCCCAGTACGATATGCCCACCACAAAAAAAAAAAATCCTCACGTTAGAAAACTCTCCCAGATATAGACTAGTATTATCTCGAGCCTAGAGGTCTTCGATATTTACCTGTATGTTTTCACCATATATGCTACACATTTTTACGTAATCATTTTATTTTTGTTTTGTTGTATTATAATAAAGGAAAAACCCGACGTTCAAAGGGAAAACCCGACGTTCACAGGGAAAACCCGACGTTCACACCTTAAGTTACCCTCCTCTTTAAGCTGCTAGTATCTTTTGTTTTACGCTGACTATAAGCCGCCTCCCCCGCCCCTTACCTTGGATTAATTCGACCATTGAGTGATTTAGGTCGGAGCGGTGAAGATTCATGAGTACTCACCCCAGCTCAAGGTGTTAGTTGATCGTCACGTGATGCACTCACCGCGCGCTATTTTAAACCTGACAAACGCACGAGCTTTGATTTTCTTAGACTCACAGCTCGCGGCCATCTTTGATTTATCCATTACCGGCCACGATCAGCACCCGAGGCGCAATCGATCCATCGATCTGGTAGTTTGTTAAACGTTTGAAAATCTGAATTCATCGCCGGGGTCAAACTGTCCTTCCTGTTTGGCCGATCAATGCAGGGGAATGAACTCCTGGGTACACCGGCTGGAATTATACAGCATAGCCAGATTTCTCTCCCCGGCCGGAAGTCATAAATAAGTCTGGAACAGCAGACTAAAAGATGCATATGCTATCATTATACGGGCTTCCGGTGGCGCACGATCCCATATGAATCTGCTTTACCCATAATTCTCGGCACTCAGACGTGCCACAGTGTGGAGGGAGAAACGTGGATGTCGTCTGCTAGTCCGGGACGGTTGATTGTATTGCTACGTCGGCACTAAAACCCAGCATAGCATCTTTCAACGTCAGTAGCCTCTATGTAAGGACATCATAGAATCAATGTCAGATGCAACTATTTAATGACAACCGCCAAATGTCAATAGAGACAGATGACAAGAATCTTTGAATTCCGAAATGGTAATAAAGCCAACAAATGACATCTGTCAAATGTCACTAGTCGAATAATGACATCCTTCAAATATTGTAGCATTAAGTCAAGTGTCATTCTTCAAATGTCATATTGGCACTAAATGATAGTAATGACATCCTGCTAAAGTCAAACTTTCACAACAGCACTTCCGGCCACCTACTTACACCTACAACAGCACTTCCGGCCACCTACTTACACCTACAACAGCACTTCCGGCCACCTACTGACACCCACAACAGCACTTCCGGCCACCTACTTACACCCACAACAGCACTTCCGGCCACCTACTTACACCTACAACAGCACTTCCGGCCACCTACTGACACCCACAACAGCACTTCCGGCCACCTACTTACACCCACAACAGCACTTCCGGCCACCTACTTACACCTACAACAGCACTTCCGGCCACCTACTTACACCTACAACAGCACTTCCGGTCACCTACTTACACCTACAACAGCACTTCCGGCCACCTACTTACACCTACAACAGCACTTCCGGCCACCTACTTACACCTACAGCCCCAGTCCCATAAACCCCTTCATGTTGTATGTCCCTATCGATCCCCTTAGATCTTTGTGTGTCCTCATCTGCATCTTGCACCGACTCCCCCCCCTTCCTGCGCCGCTCTAGGGGCGGCAACCCTTTGTTTGTGCCCGCCGAGAACTGTGCCAGCATATGATTTAACGTTCCATAATCACGTCAGGTTTTTTTTGCTCCGGAGTTGTCTTTCTTTTCAGCGGCTTAATCTTCTTTCCATCACATTAGGGTGGATGTGCGCATCGTCGATGGCGCACCACGTGATGTAGCCAGCTGACCGGCGAGGTCACCTGGGCCAGGGTGACGTTTTTTGGTGAGTGATTTAGTTGGTTGGTGCACGGTCACGTGGGTAGGTGTATTACTCGGGTGTTTGATGTGGTTTAACCCGATATGCCACCACCGGCACATTGTGCCACCACACACAGAAACTCGATGTTAAACAAGTGTAAGTCTCACACAGAAAGTATCAGGCACAGGGTCTCAGCGAGTTAATTATGCCCCACCCCTTACATCTGAGTCTAAGACCTTACCTCCGAGCAATATCCCCCCCCCCCCGAGCCATTAGCCCCATGACACAAAACAAGATAAAAAATGCTGAATAAACTTTTCCCGCCAAGAACAAGCATCAACACAAGTCTAATCCTAACCCTAGCCTTTCTATTGGGGTAACCTGAAGACGTTCATATTAGAATTAGGACATTTTGAAAGGGCGGACTGGAGTCAATACAGAGCCATCAAGATAGAGAACTTAAAGTTACAGAGGTGTGTACTGTTACAAGTCATAGGTGTAGAATCACAGCTACACATCACAGCTACACATCACAGCTATACATCACAGCTACACATCACAGCTACATATCACAACTACACATCACAGCTACACATCACAGCTACACATCACAGCTACACATCACAGCCACACATCACATCACAGCTACACATCACAGCTACACATCACAGCTAGCTACACATCACATCAACCATTCAAAGACTAAATGCTACACGTCTGATATTTAGACTCACAGCCAAATTGTTAATGGCGAAGTACCCAGACAGCTATATTGGACTTAAAAGTACCCACAGACAAACACATGCATACAGACATCTAGTACTCACCTCAGCAGATGTGAATCTTGTACTCACCTCAGCAGATGTGAATCTTGTACTCACCTCAGCAGATGTGAATCTTGTACTCACCTCAGCAGATGTGAATCTTGTACTCACCTCAGCAGATGTGAATCTTGTACTCACCTCAGCAGATGTGAATCTTGTACTCACCTCAGCAGATGTGAATCTTCTACTCACCTCAGCAGATGTGAATCTTGTACTCACCTCAGCAGATGTGAATCTTGTACTCACCTCAGCAGATGTGAATCTTGTACTCACCTCAGCAGATGTGAATCTTGTACTCACCTCAGCAGATGTGAATCTTGTACTCACCTCAGCAGATGTGAATCTTGTACTCACCTCAGCAGATGTGAATCTTTCCTCGAGTGCCACGGGTTGGCTTCGTGTCCCCGGTAATTTTTCTTCAAAAGTGGGGCGCACAGTTTGTTCCCCATGGCGTCCGTCTCAGGCGGTGATTACATTCCCGCCTCCCGGTGTAATCCTCCGGCGTTCGGCAATTACATCTCTCTGATCATTACATAATCCATGGTTAATCCCTTATTCTAAGGTTAATCCAAATGTGAAGAATCGTATCAATCTGTGTGGAAATTCCGTTTGAAGATGGCTGATTAAAGAAAGAAATCCTTACACATCCGATAAGAAATGGCGAGAAGATGTACTCCTACGGGATGTTCTACTTTTACCTTGACCTGAAATAAAGGGGGGGGGGGGCAGGGGGGTTAATGAGATGGGGTTAGAATAGATTAGAGAAATTTTTTGTTGAAACAGTGACAGTGCCATTTTAACAGTGGTATTGTGACAATGTCGGCGACAAAGTGACAGTGCCGTTGTGACGGGACAGTGGCTGTGTCAGTGCCAACGTTATAGTGCCGTTGTGGCTATATCAGTGGCACTGTGACACAATATCACAGCGACACCGCTTCTTTGACACCGTGTTGGTGTCAGGTCTGCAATGACACAATCATCTCACCACGTCACGTCACAGCACAATCTGTCACGTCACAACACAATCTGTCACAGCACAATCTGTCACGTCACAACCAATGAGATTTTCACAACGTCAAAGCGCTCCAATTACTATCTTAATTAATTTCATTGACGTTGCTATAGAAACCGTCTCTGACTTCAGCTGCTACCGTATCAGTTACTGCTCACACACGCACACACACAAACACACGCACACACACACACACAGATGAGTAACGTGAGTTGTCACCACCAAGTGAAGCCAACAAAGTGAGACCGACAAAGTGAGACCGACAAAGTGAGGCGTGTAAAGTGAAACGATCAGACCTAAAAGGGGAGGCGCTGACGTCATGACTTGATCACATTACCCGCACCACGTGATCAAAGGCTGCTACAAGAGGGTTAAGGAAACCTACTGCCTGCCACTGCCTGCAAGTCTACAGTTAAAACCTACTGCCTGCCACTGCCTACTAGTCGGCAGTTAAAAGACAAGTGACCTTATCTTAAAATTTTCTCTAAAATATTTCAGTTGAAACTTGTGTACTAATTAACACCTAATTGTTTCCGACTATGATTGTTCTAATTAAATCTGAGTCTGACGTCACAGGGAGATCACTGCACGCGCTAACCCCGTGGGTTTGCCTTGAGGTGAGCGGTCAATCGATGGTACTCACACCCAGGGGAGAGAAGGGGTCAGGGTGTTAAGTCTGCGTCAGTTTGACAGCCCGTCACATAGTTGGACAGCCAGTGGCCACCCCAGTCCCTACACCAGTGGCCACCCATCACTCCCTACACCAGTGGCCACCATCAGTCCCTACACCAGTGGCCACCCATCAGTCCCTAGTGGCCACCCATCAGTCCCTAGTGGCCACCCATCAGTCCCTAGTGACCACCCATCAGTCCCTAGTGGCCACCCACCAGTCCCTACACCAGTCCCTACACCAGTGGCCACCCACCAGTCCCTACACCAATGGCCACCCACCAGTCCCTACACCAGTGGCCACCCACCAGTCCCTAGTGGCCACCCATCAGTCCCTAGTGGCCACCCATCAGTCCCTACACCAGTGGCCACCCACCAGTCCCTAGTGGCCACCCACCAGTCCCTAGTGGCCACCCACCAGTCCCTAGTGGCCACCCATCAGTCCCTAGTGGCCACCCATCAGTCCCTAGTGGCCACCCATCAGTCCCTAGTGACCACCCATCAGTCCCTAGTGGCCACCCACCAGTCCCTACACCAGTAGCCACCCACCAGTCCCTACACCAGTGGCCACCCACCAGTCCCTACACCAATGGCCACCCACCAGTCCCTACACCAGTGGCCACCCACCAGTCCCTAGTGGCCACCCATCAGTCCCTAGTGGCCACCCATCAGTCCCTACACCAGTGGCCACCCACCAGTCCCTAGTGGCCACCCACCAGTCCCTAGTGGCCACCCACCAGTCCCTAGTGGCCACCCATCAGTCCCTACACCAATGGCCACCCATCAGTCCCTACACCAGTGGCCACCCACCAGTCCGTACATCAGTGGTCACCCACCAGTCCCTAGTGGCCACCTACCAGTCCCTAGTGGCCACCCACCAGTCCGTACACCAGTGGCCACAGCTACGACAACGCGCGTGATATACTCACCAGACACACACCATCCAATGGTCAAGCCAGAGGTGCCCGGGGGTCGTCATAAATCACTAGGACATTAATGGGGATCTCTTTTCCCTAAACAACAGGGTGGGGTCGGGTTCTGGGAATAGTGGACGGCACATTTGGGGGTTGTAACTCTTGTTAACATTATGTTCATTATTAAACCCTTTAGCCGCTAATGTTAACATTGAACAATTTATCAACTGGTTCATAATGTTCAAGAATTCAGCACTGGTTAATTATGTTAAGATTAAAGAATTCAGCACTGGTTAATTATGTTAACATAAAAAAAGATTGTGTCAAAAATCATTCAAAGGCTTGTTCAAACATTTTCATTTCTTCTCGCTTGTTTAATAATTCAACAATTAAATCAAGCTATTTATTTAAAGCACCCGCCTGTTCTGAAGACCCCCCCCCCCACCCACTCCACACCACGCTGTCAACCCACCCACGTTCATTGTCCCCCACCCTCCCCCCTCCCCAAGCCCCCACCCTCCCACCAATCAAACATCTCCCGGGTTATCGATCCCCGCAGCCTGCACTTTATGATCGCAAACGTCCCTGGCTAATTCAGGCTTTACAGGTAAGTCGACCCGATCGGACCCGCGTCGACCCATTTCAACCCGGGTCGTGTGATGAGCAACTGCGGTAATTTACGTGTCTACTTCATCCTGCAGTCCCGCCCTAATTAGCCGCTTTAATTAGCTGCTCAATAAGCCTATTAGCCCGACCCACGGGTTAGATAGACGGGCGTGGGGCGGGGAACAAAGGCGACCAATAGTTTCTCATTTTTAAGTCGATTTACTTTTGTCAACGGGAAATTAGCGAACAGGGGAAAATTTAATTCAGTTTTTTTTTAAACATGGCGGACAGATACGCATGATTGGTTCTGAAGATATTTTTCAGGTTGAATGGACAGTGAAGGAACCTTTGTAAAGAGAGTTTAAGTCCTGTTGGTTTTTGTGTGGAAGTTTATGTCATGGAGGGCGGGTAAGGGTCGGGGGGGGGGGGGGCGAGTTGTATTCAGTAAGTAAAGTAAAGATTCATCTTTAGGCCTAGCGACTCATTGAACAATTGAAGTAGAGTTAATGTTTTTTGACCTCGACATACTGAAGGCATGGTGTGGTCACCAATATGCCCAGCCAGCTTCACGTCCACCAACGTAAGTCAGATACCCATCAGAGCTGGGTGGACTCCGTGACGTCATACAGTCCTAATTGAGATGCGAACAGCCAAACGCTGCGCCATTCCACCAGGCCGTCCCAAAATAATTGAATAAGGTTTAATAAGAGCTCCACGGGAAGTTGTGGGCGGGGTGGGCTCAAAAGATGGCCTAAAACAAATTATAAAATGTCCGTGGTGGTCAGGGGTGGGGGCGGCCCAGTGGTGGGGGCGGCCCAAAACAAATTTAACTCCCATTAAGGTTTGTGTAAAAACGTAATGATCAAAGGACGACGGGGGGAAAAAAGTTTGTGAAAAAGCAATCACGTAGGAAAACCGGAAATGAAATCTAGTCTCCCAAGGGAGGACAACTCTTTCTGCCAGTGGAGGCGGCTACTTCACGCTCTATATCAGGGGAGAGATGAGTCTGTCCAATATCCGACATTCGGACGTCACCGTACGGGTCAAAGGTCAGGTTCAACCTCTAAATGAAAGGTCAAGTTCAACCTCTCAGTGAAAGGTCAAGTTCAACCTCTCAGTGAAAGGTCAAGTTCAACCTCTCAGTGAAAGGTCAAGTTCAACCTCTCAGTGAAAGGCTACGTTTAACTTAAGCCGGCATTTAGTCTTTGAGTCCAATAATTAAAAACACTTTATGTTTTCAGTTTAAAGCGGCCCGGATGTCGAGTATTTGACACGAAACAAAACTGTTTTGTTGAAGCAACTAAAATGTGATGAAATGATCAGCTTACCTGAACTAAAATGTGATGAAATGATCAGCTTACCTGAACTAAAATGTGACGAAATGATCAGCTTACCTGTCCGTGGCCGGAGGGTGTTCGGTAACACCGCGGGATGAGCGGCACGGAAGTGGATTCCGTATCACGTGACTGGTGAAACAATGGCCGACACAGAATGATGATGCAGTACTCGTGAGATTTTGTTTCACGTGCGAAAACGTTTCAAACCTTGCACGAGACTAGAGCAGATCGATGTAAGATCGATCGTTGAGACGTTGGAATGTTTCCCACCAACCTCCGAGTAGCCCCTAATCGAACAAACCAAATCACAAAATGTTGGCCTAATCAGAGCTAAATTAGGCCCTCACTCGAAAATGTTGAAATCAAAGGGTAATCTATTTCACAACAAGCAGATATTGGCATTGGCGTCACTTGTTTTCGATCCAGCGCCTTATCATCTTAAAAGTGCATCCAAACATTGCATCCAAACATTGTGGTTGTACTGGTAGCTCTTCGGGGATAACTCTCTGTCAGTCTTGATTTTTTTTCTAGCGGTGGCGAGAGTTATGGGACTTGGGACTGGAATAAAAACAGTACATGGTTATATGTTAGCACTAGCAAGTACATACAACAAGACACACATAAAAAACACATACAACGACACAGACATACAACATATACATATATATATATATATATATATATATATATATATATATATATATATATATATATATATATATATATATATACAAATGCCTATAAAATATATATACAACATACAACAACACACATGTATGATCCACTAATATTGCAACACATACAATAACACATACAATAACACACACACACACACACAACACCACATGTTCTTCAACACAAATTCAGCAATACATATAACCTACACCTATATAAACACACACACATGTACATCACATACATACAACACTTACTACAACGCATATATACAGCAACACATACAAAAGACACATGCAACACACTCATAACATACTTCTGGCCCGTCTGTATGCTGGTCTAGCCGGTTCACATGTAATAGAAATCCTCATACTCTCACATATACAATGGCTGCCGTTTTGTTTGTCTAGAGTCGCCATGGTTACCGAAGCATACATTTCACCCCAATCCTTACCACATAGAGTCGACGCTTCAGACGTAACTA